TGTAATTAATAAACTGGGTATAACTTGAGAATGGTAAATTGTATAAATAATGGTCTGTAGGTCAAAATAAATCTTAAAATAAGAGGAATATAAATATATTTAGTTTAGTTTCTTAGCGGTAATATAATAAGAATATATGTATAATATTAGTCCCAATTGATTGATCATTGGGTAGTGATCAATGTCATGGGTGTCAAGTCCTTCTTATTGCTGATCGATTGCTATCGATCAAGTTGCAATGTAGCCACTAGTCTAGGTGGCTCGACACTGTGTGCACTATATTGAGATAAGACGGTGGTTAACAGGAAACCCTGGACCCGGGTTTCGTGCTACTTGGCACTCGTCAGCAGGTCAGTTCTAAAACATCAATGGGAAGATTCAAACAAACAATACTAACTGAATTGTAACAGTGTTTATACTAAGCAAATCAATATCGAATACTTTCAGCACAATTAACACTAAGTAATTAAGTTAATTTATAAAACACAGTAAATCGATATTTACTCCACTTATAACCAAATATACGAACAAGAGTATTCCGAATGTTTGAAATGAATAAATTGATTTATGAGTCCCAATAAAGTACTCAGAACTAACAGGACAGATAATGAAACGAAAACAGAGGAGTTTCATTGTTTGACTCAACAAAATGAAATCTGAATACAGTTTAGGTCATTTTTATAAGATAAAACTAACCAATCATAGGATGAGTTAAAGTATTAAAACAAAACAACTCATCAGTCCCAGAGTGAACATCAACTCTGTGGTGCAGGTACATCCAGCTGATCAATCCCAAATAGGACAAAACGTGCGTCAAACTGGATTCCATTGCCAGCCACTATCCATCCTTGCTTATAATGCTTGTGAATTAAGGCAATATCGAGACAATCCGCGCAGGATGTACATAAATAAGAGACTGATCAATTTAAGTCCTAAAAATGAATGTACAAAGTATCAACTGTTGTAATTCAGATAACAAGAAGAAATTAAATCATTGTGATCTGTTAAATTTTATGCCACTGGGTTACAACCAATGAAATTTATCATGAAGTTAATCTTAAATACAAATAAAAAGAGTTTAAGAATAGAAAAACTGACGGTAATCCTATGTATTAAATGAAAGTGTGACTAGAAACAGTAAATGCAACATTAAACCAATTGGTAAATTAAGATATCTGCCTTAGCATAATGTTAATTACTGTTTACGACAAAAGTTTCATTTACAACCTAAGTATTATTATCAGAAGGGTTTTTTGTGGAGATTTAGTAGGACGAAACGGCCGTCCAGTGCTTCCAGGTTTTCCTTAGTGGTCTAGCTTCAATTGACTAACGCTTGCAACCTAAGTATTGATTATGAATGTTAACACATCACCTGGAACCAGAATGAGATCAGTAATATACGGACATCTAATAAATTCCTTCATAAAAAGTTGTAACATGATATAGAAAGTAACTTTCAACTATAACTCAGTATGTGTATGATACCATATTGTCATTTCTCAAATGGAGACAATCGTTTATGTGTATTGATAAGTTGTACTACTCTACTTTTCGAGATATGATATACAGGATTCTTCTCTGAAGTTAATTAAATGAGTTTTGAGTTTAATACTCATTTATATCTATTTTCAAGTTTTCTCTACATCATTCAATCACAGATTATCAAATCACGCCTATGAAAAATTTGTTTAATAGTTCACTTCATGGGTCGATTAAAGCTAAACCATCATGGGAAACCTGGAGACAATGAACGGCCATTTCATCATGGTATGGGAATTTTCAACGGTGCGTATCTACGATCTCGCACACAACAGTCAAACCCAAGAACTTCCGTCTCGTCCGCGAACTCTTAAAATCTAGAACACTGAGCCGGACGGCATTCAACGGTGTTAATGTCTAATTTCAGTCAATCCACGAAATTGTGCCACCATCCACTATTATCTCCAGTGAGTAACTGCCTCACAACAGACATCGTTGAACTCCACTGGTCACGACTTCTCACTCAGTCAGTCAGTCAGTTACAACGTAGAACTTCGTACGTGCGTACATCAGTTCGAGTTGCCATACCACATTAGCACAGAGATGAAGTTGTCCATTCAAATCCCATAGTGGTAGAAGTAGTAAGAGTATAAGTATTATGTGAAAGATTAGGGTTTGAAGATGTTATTGAAGGAGTATAATCCAGTGAAATAAATTTGGAAAGAGAAAAAGTAAAAGGACACAAATAATTCAGAAGATTAGAATTTGGGAGAACACAAAGAGTGGATGCAACTTTGCCATTGCAAACGATTTTCAGCCATGTCATTCAAGGTCTCTAACCATCGATTGCTATCATCTCGCGAATCTCAACCAGGTAGTCTACACTTACCAACATGGTCCATATATCTTTACGGAATAAATATTTAACACATTTCTTTTCAGATGTATATACATGCATAAGTCAGTCAGTCAGCTTAAACATAGGACCAGGCACAAATATGAATCGGTCAAAGTTGCCATACCTCATTAGCACAACAAGATGAAAACCGGATTCATAGAAGTAGTTAATTTAATGATGGTAATATATAAAAGAAAGGTTGTATATAAGGATATAGTACAAGAAGAAAGACATATATGAAGCAATTTTAATATCAAGGATTAAGGGAAGATAAAGAATTTAAACACCTACGCCATTGTGATCGATTCTGAGCCATGTCACCCAGAGTCTCCAACCATTAGTTACGATAGTCACGCGGACCCCAACCAAGTAGTCTGCATCTACCAACATGGCTCAGACTAGAAGTTAGTGACTTCAAGCACTGATGCCACGTTTTGGTTTGGCCGCCAATTTCTTCCAATCATCGACAATACTAGTCAGCATAGCACGTCGTGGTAATCGGTGTTCAGGCATACGTAACACGTGGCTCAACCATCTCAGTCGACGAAGATTCATGACCTCATCAACTGACTTACCATTATTCCCTAATACCGTGTATTTAACCGCACTCACTATTACTTACCCGGTGATCCCAGCAGATGCGAGTGATATTTCTAAGGCATCTGTGGTCAAATACTAGTAACTTACGAATACCTTCTACTCTTAATGGCCATGTTTCACAGCCGTAAAGCAGAACAGAGCGAACTAATGCGAACAGCTTGATAATAAATTTGTTAAACAGAGATCTCTCTGTTGAACTTCATGTTTTAAATGTTTCAATAGGTATTATATATCAACTGAGGAAATGCAAATATCCTATGATGATGAAAGAACTCAGGGAAATTTTTTTAAAATGTAACTCCGTTAAACTTACGTTAGTGAAATTGAAGATCATTGTTTTCGAAAACTGTATCGAAAGCAATGAGTATCTTAAACATTCCTGGAAGCCACTAAGGCGAAATCCCAATGCTAAAATTATCAAATTTCATGCACTTAATTGTATTGATGCTATTAAATCTCAGTTAGTTGGGAGAGAAAACAACATATCTCTGAGACGTCACTCACCATATTAATTGTCGTCAGATGAAGGATTATGTTTGATTGTAACTAAAAAACAATCAAGCAAAGCTAAATTTAAATACTTGAAAACACTTAAACCAGTAGGCGTGAATAAGAAGTTTCATGAAAACCCGTAAAAATATGTATTTCGTCATTCTTTAATCACACTTTCGTCAATCCGAATTAAGGCCTTATCATTAAGTCATAGATTGTATAAAAACCGATAGACTTTATACGTAAATATATTTAGAAAATCTACTAGATCAAATTCGTGATTTCATTCTAACATCACAAGAGTTCCAGCATCTCATAGTACTTGATTGCTGTCATGCTAAATCACCACAGAATTTAGTCATAATGATCTAACAACCATAAAGCACATAGATCAACTAATTATCCTGACAAGAAATAAGGACTCGATCCTAAGTAAAACCGAGAATGAATCTAATGAGGTATTCCTTGAACAAGATGCTGTTAGTTCAAGAGGATGTTACCAATTTTCCAAACTTTAAGGAGAAGTACATAAAACAGCACAAATTGAAAGAAATCTCAGCTAACTAATGTTTTTAAAAATCTGAACAACAAAGGGATAATAACACCAGACTTATGGCACAACATACGTTCAGTGGGTTCAGTCATCACTCACTTATATGGATTACAGAAAGTATATAAACCTTGGTTACCGCTAAGACCTATTTTGTAAATGTCTAGTTCGCACTCCTCAGTAGTATGCATCCACGACCTCGCCTCACGAGATCCGAACCCAGGATCTACTATTCCCACACCAGAGCACTTAACCGATAGACCACTGAGCCGGTATCCGATAGTGTCTATGTCTAACTCCAACCAATCCACGAAATTGAGCAACCGTTCACCAATTGTCTTCAGTGAGTTACTATCTCACAACAGACGTGAGGCCGGATCGTGAATGCACACTGCTAAGGAGTCTACAATAAGACGAAACGGCCGTCCAGTGCTTTCAGGTTTTCCCTGATGGTCTAGCTTCAATTGACTAACGCATCATACTATGGTAATATATTTATATTTAGGTAAAATACTACTAATGAGTAGCTAAAATAGTTTCACTAACCTCTATGGGACTAAATTACCCAGTCTAATTATAAATGGTAGGAAGTGGGATTTTGATATTCGGGAATACACACTCAGCAAATATCAACGTTCACCTAGAAGAAAAATTTTGCACGATTTTCAAACCATTATGCAACACAGATTACTTTCATTGACAATTTCAAGTTTTAAAATCAAGAGTTGATCACTGAAATCATAGTAATTCAACTTATTTTGTAAGCCTTTAACTTCAAAATCACTCAATTGGAGAAATGTGGAACTATTTTCTGTTGAATACATAAAAAATTAGACCAAACAATGATCGGTGATGTGAAGAGTTTATTTACAGTATCAAGTATGAATACAGGTTGATTCAGTTCACAAATATTATCAAGTGTAAAAATCGAACATGTATCGAAATCAACATGCAGAGGAGGCAAAAATTTAGGTATCTTACATTGTCAAAAGAAGTATAATACAACTGTGTTAGTGTTGTTAATATTTACAATTCATGGATTCCAACGCAATTTCCGACCATTACATCCATCATTCCACCATCGTGCCACTTTCGGAACCCAATATGGACCAAATGCTTGAGATGTATGTGCCAGTAGACACATCGCACATTGAGGTTGTGAATCCCAATCATGTATGATTCCATGACCATGCCATGCAAAATATTCATTATATGCAGTATCATTCTTATCCAAATACTTCAAATAGTCTGCCAGTTTAGCTGGTGATTCGAATTGATCAACGTGAATGAAAGAGTATGGAGGAGCGACTCTTTCATATTCTTCTATCGAAGCACCCATCACAATTGGAAGTATATCGTTTCTTGAAGTGAATAAAAATTGTGATATTTCGTCAAAAATTGGTCTAAACATCAATTTACAGTTTATTCAACAACAAACTGCATATTCAGTAGAAAATAGCATTCATAATATCAAGTTGTATAAAACATTGGTAAGGAGATGTCACTAAACAGTCATGAAACACATAATCTTTTCCCTTAAAAGATCTGGAGATCGCACAAGCTAGTCTAGTTGTCTGTTAAATGTCGAGTCCTATTGCTCAAACTAGCCGAAAAATAAGGTATTACAACCATTGGAAAGCTTTCGCGTGTCAGCGACTTATTGATCAAAATCGACTGTTAAAATATCAATTCCTACAGATCAGTGGAATTTATTATGCGTGCAGTCATTAATGTCCTAGATAGAAAACATCAAAATAATTTTAAATGAATTAAAAATCTGGACACTACTCACGCATTATTGAATCAGAATGAAATACAGTACGCTGAGAATGATGAATTATGGATGGAGACCAATAATTAATGTATTAATGTAGTGGTCAAAGGCAGTGGTATATACAAAACAAAGTCTATGGAGAGTATTGAAGTCATTGCCAATTCGAACTCGTAAAGTCAAAGTCAGAAATTCCAAGAAATTCTTCAATTTCAATATCAGAACCTTCAATTTTGGTCAAACGACTTTCAACTGACTTTACGACATATATGTCAAATCAATTCCTACCAGGCTACACATCAAGTTATCTTATTACAACCATTGGTGATTTCAGTTATAGGACACGAATTCTTCAGGTGCTCATATCTTTATCAATCAAAACATAGACCTAATGTTCAATTTAAAAAGCAGGCAGGAGGTGAAGCGAATTATCTTACACTTCATGTCTGTAACGTGGTTGAAATTTCGGAAAGAAATAGAAGTTTCACATTCGATAAACTCTGAGAATATATGGAGCAAACCCAAAGTATCACATTTTATCAGTGTTGTCACAAAAGTATCCTACACAAGGAAATACGATTAGACCTGGCAACAATGTTATGATAGCTAAATAGTGATGAACAGTAAAATAATTTCCTTTAATCGCCTATGATATTTCATCACATTTACCGTGTGTTAGTATTTTATTCATAGGCATGTCGTTTGATGATATCAAAAATTGATTCTTCTCCGCTCTCTCTTGACAGACCTTCTAGACATACTGAACTTCTAACTATGATCGGGTAGCAGATAAAAAAGTGATAGAAGTAATCTTATATATCGTACTAAAGTAAAAGTTGTGAATAATTGGTTTAGTATACGAACATATGATCAGGTCCTTCGTTGAGCCCACTAGTTTAATGCATTCCCGGTTATCTATTACTATAGGTTAGCTAAGGACAACAATTACATCGTACATTTTGTAACGTGTAATAGAAATAAGATGTGCATCTTCATCTTCTAACACCATTTACAGCATCCAGTTGTAAATGACAAGAGTTATACACTTAAAACTACTCCATCTTATAGAATATTCAGGTAATCATAATTCAAAACCTGAATTGTTTCTATAAAAAATTGCATTACTTCCTTCTCTATGCCACACGCTTAGTTTATGGTTTTATTCAGTTTATTTATTCATTCTCAATTTTCACCCCATATTTCACTTATTCATTTAGAAAAGTGATTTTACTTTGTTCTGTTCTATAATAAAATATATTTATTAGTGATAAATGTTGTGGATCGGTTGAAGTTAAACATTTACACCGTGTTGTGTGTGGAATCGTAGATGTGCACTGTTGAAACGTTTCGTACTAGGACGAAATGGCTGTTCAGTGCTTTCAGGTTTTCAGTGATGGTCTAACATTGATCGATTCATGATCTCAACCAGTAGGTCAACAAACTCCACAACCCCATACTGGTAAAAATTATTCTTGAAAATTGGTTTCTAACCTCATTTATTTTTATTTATAACTTTAAACAATGATATTGTTATGTTGCATTATTATGTGCTCATCAGTGACTAATAAATCGAGATATTCCAGTGAGTTATAGTGAAATCCAATTACGTTTGAGGTGGTTACTAGCTGAAGATAATGAAAGATCATTACACAATATCACTAGTTGGTTGAATTTAAAAATGTAGATCGTTAGATACTAGTGCAATGTTCTAAAGATTAAGCTCTCGTAGCGAGACCTATGTCCTGGGTTCAATCCCCTGTGACGAAGTCGTAGATATATACTGCTTAGGAGTCTCACATTAGCATGAATCAACTGCCTAGTCGTTCCTGGTAATTCAATGGCTGTATAAATAAAGTTAGTTCTTGGTCTCAATCATGTTCCGTAATCTCCAGAAACATTACATACCGATCACTTTGATTGCATTTTGAAATCACAACCAGCTATATACTCAATTACTTTTCTAATTAATCTGACAACTAATTATTGGCTATACTTCATTATCCAACCATAGTTATTTAGGGATATTGGCAATAATACTCTGAGTGATAGTTTAATATACACGTTGAATTATCAGTTCTGAAAAAGTACCATTATTTAAATAATTGATTATTTTATTACATAAAGAACATATTAAACTGTATTATTGTAATTATTACACCTTTGTCTAGTCACTTACTTCAGTGCATTCTTAAAAAGCTTCTCAGTTATATACCATCTACACAAACTATTTTCAAAGCTCAGGTAAAATTTGTAGTTCTCACGAATTAACTTAAAACAGTCAGGCAACAAGGGATCACGTACCAAATTCCTTGGACATATTTTTGTACCACATTTACCATATATATCAACCTGTAAACAAAATGATTCAAAACATACACTAGGATCATTCAATATGTTGTCAACTGCAATATTATAAATGACAATTGTATGACACTTTGATTAAGATCATCAATCGATAGAAGCTAGACCACCGCTGAACAGCTGTTTCGTCCTCTTATGGGGCTCATCGGCAGTGCGCATCCACAATCCCGCACGCAAAACTCGAAAACAGGACCTTCGGTCCCGCGCGCGAACTATTAACCTGTATCCGTTGAGCGGATAGTATCAACAACAGCCTACTGTGGGAAAGAACAAATCAGCTTCCATCTGAATAGGAGATTAGGAAAAGACGTTGGAAGTGAATATGCCGTACATTCAGGAAATCACCAAACTGCGTCAATCCCTCTTGAAGGTAAACGGGAAAGAGGAAGGTCAAATAGCTCACTTCGTCGAGAATTCTAAGCAGACATGAAAGGGACAAATAGCGACTGGAAAGGATGGCTCAGGACAGAGCTGGATGGAGAATGCTGGTGAGCGTTCTATTCACCTCCATGAGAGGTAGCAGACATAAGTAAGTATTCCATTATTATTTAAACACCTTTTCATATCTTTTAGTTTCTCTTCAAGTCTATTAGAGGTACATATTCTTTCAGTTCTGAGAAACATTAATTTAACAAGTGGATTTTTGTAATTGATTAGACAAAAGCTATTGAAATTGAGATAAATCCCAGCTCATGTCTTTTCTATAAACACAGAATGGAATTTATCTAAATTTTAGTAGCGTTTATCCAATCAGTTACAAAAGGCACTTGTTAAAACACTGCTTCTCAGAACTCAAAAAATATCTACTTCTGATAAACTAGAATAGGAACTAATGAATGTAAAAAGATGTTTAAAGAACAACTGATACTCACTGAGACTTTTTGAAAAATATGCTAAATGTGAAGATAAAAAAACCCAAAGGAACTACAATAAACAAAAAACCTATTTTTATTCAACTTAAATTCAGAGGTGATGATGTCACAGGGTCAATCAGCTTGAGATTAAAACCTGCATTGACAAGAACTTATCCTGCAGCTAAACTGGTTGTCTTGTCTAAAACAACATGTTCTTCAACACAACCAAAGTACGATAGGTATCCGTTTCATGTTACCACCAACTGTGTATACAAATTTACATGTATCTACCAAAGCTGTTACATTGGTAGAACAGAAAGAAGAGCCTACGTCCGATTCAAAGAACTTGTTCCGAAAATTTCTAGGTCAAATAGATTAGAAGCATTCAACAGTGCCATCACAAAACATCTTGATACAGGACATCAAATAGAAACATTGAAGCCTGTCAATGTAATTAATAAACTATTAAACTCTAATCTTCTGAAATTTACCGAAGCTATAACGATCAAACATCTAAAAGTGGATCTGTGTATCCAGAACGAAACGGCAAAAAATCTTTATTTGCCTTGGTAACAGTACACCCCTTTCTGTTACGTCATTCATTATTTCAACTCTATGAGTTCTAATCACTAGTTCAATGTTTTGGAACTTTCGCTCTCAAACTTTATTTATTTATCTGAAACAAAGATCATTTATGACCTTAATAACTCGATTAGAATCTACGGTGCATCATGATACTCATAATCATCTCTAATCACTTTCCTATTTATAAGTAATAACTTGGATCATAAAATATTAAATGGATTGTAAGCAGCTGATGAGTATCTAACGAAATAAAATGAATTCATATTATTCTGCATATTATTATTCGTTCTTGCACTATTTAGGATAATAAAAAGGAACAATGTGTATGAAATAAACATTTTGTAATAGCTCACCTATAGCTGATCTATATAAAATGAGACAACTCTGTGTTTGTTTACTCTGATTCCAACTAGCTAGTTAACTATAGTTAAAGTTGAAAGCTTAAGTCAATTGAAGCTAGACCACCAAGAAAAACCTGGAAGCACTGGACGACTGTTTCTTCCTATTGTGGGACTCCTATTGTGCAACTCCCAACGATAAACACAACCAATTACAGTTATATTTATTTATTTTAAAATTTACCCATAATCTTAATATAGATAGAGACTAAAAATTGAGAGATTCCCTTTTATAATTATATTTGTTCTAGGAACAAATTAGAAATTTATATGTTAGTTTACTTTACTTGATCAATTTTTATGGGTTCGAATCTCGCGAGTGCGGAATCGTGGATGCGCACTACTGAGGAGTTTCATAATAGGACGAAGCGGCCGTCCAGTGCTTCCAGGTTTTCCATGATGGTCTAGCTTCAATTGACTAATGATTTCAACTATGGAAACATCTTTAAACGTTAATAAATTATTCAGTGGATATAGATTTTACATGTGTATAAACTGACCTTGTTTTGTTTGTATTCTTATTGTTCCTATGGTTACTCACCATGGTTTTCAAATGTGTTCAATTTAATTTTCTATATAATATGTCAGTATAATCAGTAAACAAATAGACACATTAACTTACATCTCAACTATGTAGCCTAGTTGAATGGAGCTCTTTATATTCTCATTTTAAATATTAATTATTTCTTATTGAGTTTCTTATTATTATTTTGAATTAATCTAAATTTATTTGATATTTTTAGAATGAAGGTTTTATGGAGATTGTAGTAATTTCTCACAGTTGAATTGATGAGTCCATCAAATATAAACCACCATCAAAAACGTGGAAACAATGGACGGTCGTTTCGTCCCAGTATGGAACTTGTGAGCAGTAGGCATCCACGATCCTGCATACAATACTCGAACCTAAAACCCAAGGTTCCCACACACGAACGCTTAACCTCTAGGCCGCTGAACCACTATCTAACTGTGTTCATATCCAAGTTCTTTGATATTATTAAATAGGATAGTAGTAATGCTCGCTTAATATTTAAACTGTTCATATTTTTAACAATCGGTTTCTAGGTCAATAATAAGTAAATAATATTCAAAAATTTACTAGTGCATTTTCATGTCGCAAGTGTTTGAATGCACTGTGTGGATTTGGTAACCTTTTATCATTTTGAATTCACTTCTCAAATATTCACTGCCTAAATGGACAAATCATGATTTTTTTACGAAGCTAAATGGGTCTAAATCTTTCAATAAACAAATTAGACCGTTGGTGCTATTCCAAGCTGAATTTCATAATACTTACTGAGATATATTTTGAAAGTTCCTTTGCGTATTGTAGTCTAGGACTTTTAGCTCCACAATTACTCACAAACCATGCTACCTGTTTCGATTTACCGGCAGCATAATTTCGAGAAGGCAGAGGATATCTTGTTTTTGGTTCATGATACTTTAAATGTGGTTCATAATAACCGTATGGCGAATAAATCGTTGAATCCAAACGAAAAGATATGGTAAAATTAACCTAAATATCAGTAAACAATATTTGATGAATGTGTCTAATGACATACGTATAAAATAATAATAATAATAATAATAATAATAATATATTCTGAAACTTAGTGCTGATTACACACCGATGTAAAGGAATGATCTGTCTGATACAAACCCCTAAATTTAAAACTAACACTTTCTAGAAGAAAATGAATTACAAATCATTTCAAAGTGAGGATTTTCTACAACTCTGACAAAAATGTGTTTTAGTGAATGTTATGGAAATTTGAGAAATCTTAGTAAATTGAGTCCATTACAACATCAATGTTCATTTACACTTCATAGCAAAATAGGTATAGCAAGCATAAAGTTTTCATTATTGCACAAACTGGTAGCAACATACAGATTTATCAATCGGATGATGAACTGTAATAGACAGTGATTATTATCATTACTAATTAATGATCTTATATTTGATCCAACTATAGATTATTAACGTTCCGAAGTGAATCATTATTAAAAAGCGATTTGTCGACAAAAATCACGAAAGCAAAGTATAATTGATATAGACACTTAAGGACAAAATTTAAATATTCGCATCTGTGACTGACAACAAGTGAAAATAAGCAGACATTGAACAATTATTTACTCCTTGTATGTGAATCCCCAGTGGTACGTATGTACCACACGACCACAGATCAAACCGATGACCTTCAGGCCTCTCAGTGATGATTTATTATTCAACCCGCGCTTCAAACGCCATCGCGTTATCTACTGGGCCACTGAGTCCTGACAGCCAATTGCTTGCGCGATGGGGTGGAGTTTGAATTCATTTAGTGCTGTTTGTTTGAATCTTCCCATCGATGTGTTAGGACTGCAACTGATCAGTCTCCCCATGGATAACGCGATGGAGTTTGAAGCGAAAGGTACTGGATCCGAATCCCAGAGTGAACTCTGAGATGCAGATACATTCAGCTGACGAGTCCCAAATAGGACGAAACGCGCGTCAAACTGGATTCCACTGTTAGCCACTATCCATTTCTGCTTACCATGCTTGTGAATTAAGGCTATATTGAGGCAATACGCACAGTATGCACACATGCCAATTAGAGACTCACCAGTTGCAGTCCTAACCCATCGATGGGAAGATTCAAACAAACAACACTAAATATATATACATTGTTCTGACCGAATTATTAGTTTTATGGCCTAAAATCAAAACACGCGAGGTCACGGATTCAAATCATAATCCATTCGATTTGATCTAGTAAACAGAATAGTAGCATTCACGCTGAAAAAATTTAGTAAAAAGTCAAAAGTACAAATTCGTACTTGTTTGTAGTTGTCTAAGATTGTAATTAGTCTGAATTAAATTGTTATTCACCTGGTGTTTAAAAAGACAATATTCTTTACATTTATTGTTTCTTGTTATACAAATTCCTTCAGAAGCTTATCATTCGGATAAAGTATCTATCAACAGATACATCAAATTCAAATCAGTCTATCAATCAGTAAGGAGGAGGATAAACAACTATAAGTTTAATGATCAGATCAGACGTGAAAATAACGATTACAAATCTATGGACAACAGTCAATCGAATTCAACAAAACAAATAGCTAGTCAATGATGAAGAAATATTAAGTAGTCACTTTCTTTAAGGTATGTTCTGATGATATAGTCAGGAAAAACAATGAAATATCTTCAGCATTAAACCATCCGTCTTGGACAATGAAATCAGTTCAAACGTCTTCGGAGCCTTCGCAAAAGACAATACTCATGTTAACATGTTGATATTTTTGGCTTAAAGATATTTTATTCGGTGATTAAACTAAATTAGATGACTCAAAGTTACGAGTTAATTCATTTGAATTTGCTTAATGGTGCTAAATGATTCTACTGAAAAACTTATTTTTATGATTAATGGATGAGTTGATATGAGTGAACACTATCATATTGTAATATCACGAAGAGGATTATGAACAGTAACTTTTGAGAACTATTTATAGATCAATATGATACGCAGTTTTCCTATTCTATAATTGTTAAGCAACATAACTATTCATATACATGTTCCTTCTATTATGAGCTTTATTTTGACCTATATACTATTACTGTACGATTTACCATCCCTGAGTTATACCAGGTCTATTAATTACTGTTCCCCCTATTCACAGCCACATTTGACCAAATCTTGTACAAACGTTATTTTCAATTTTATGGTACGATGTGATCTGATTGTTTCGTTTATAAACCCAGTATGTCTGAGAATAATGATTCATATTGCAGAAGCTGTTATTGGTGTTCTGAACTTAACTGGCTGGGTTAGGCAGATAGCAGGACCGACAAGTGCTCTAAACTGATCGTACAGGTTTCACGTGTCACTAGTCCGATCGATAAATCACTGCTCTCCAATTGGAGGTATTAATACGTCATATATATATAAACAGGGCACTCATTTCACAAGATATAACACATATCTTGTTCATACTGATAACCTTCATAACCTTCATAGTAGACTTGAATTTCCCGAACAGATCTGTCGTCAATTTCATATATCTGTATCAGTAAAATTGAAAATTACTGCAACGTTCACCATAAATCATGCATCCGCACCAGATCACGTTACAGCACAGCGTGGGAAACATCTACGATTATTAGCCAGATTAGATCAAGCGCTTCTCGATATATTGATAGCGCATCAAATATATCTTCCAACCCCTTTGCTTCCGACTTCTGATTTTAACTGAGTGAGGCACGGTTCAATTATAGAAAGTGTTACTGGTTATTAGTTGTCAAACTACAATACTGGTGGTATCTTCAGCATATATATCTTAACGTGTATACAAGAAGATAATTTGATAGTAAATCAAAAAGTTTCCAACAGAGCTTTTCTCATTTATGTCAACAAATTAAACCAATGCAAACTGTTAGTGACTATTCTATTTAACAATACTATGTGAAAAGATGATGTTAATAAAACAAACAGAAATATCAAACTTTTTTCCTTTAAAAGTTTAATTTGTAGTAATGAAGTATTATTAAACTATCTTAAAAATCACTATCTGAAAACTGAATTACCATATAATTATTACCTTCTAGTTATTATATTTTGAATAATTTTTTTTCTGGTTAGCCATTTTTAGAGAGTTAGTTTTCTACGGGATGGGGTCGTTAACCCCACACCATCCCTTCTCCTTTACTCGGGCTTAGGACCGGCAGTAGCCCTCGGAGGAGATAAAGTGGACAGCTAGGATGCAGCTGGACGACTTAGACTTCGCAGATAATCTGGCTCTTCTATCTCACATAGGGTTCATCGATTTGTTACTTATTAAAAATGTCTCTTATTTAGTCTCTCTCTTAAAATTCTCATTATTTATATGTAAATCTTGATAAATATGAAGATTATTAACTATGAACAACAATTAAACATACTAGGTTTTCGGTTAATGATAGACAATAGATTAGTTCAGCGCAACTTATATGTAGGCCAGAAAGAGTAGAATAGACTTGATCAGGCCAGAATGAGTAGAATAGACTTGATCAGGCCATTTTTTTCGAGTTGTATACATACCTCATCTCTTTGATATCCACTGTCTGTTTAGATATTAAATTATCATTAAACAAATAACATTGATATTCTTAAAACGTAGATTTCACTGTTAGATATTACTATCATAACTAAGTAACATTTGATCTATCAGACCATAAGTTAAAATTTTCTTCAATATAATCATTGACTTTTGATTCAGTCGCAACAACAAATGCAGGAGAGGATGACCAGTGTAACAGTAGCTTCGGCGGCAGTAGGTCTCAATATAAACAAAGGGAAAAGCAAGATTCTCCGATACAATATAACATGCACCAATAGAATTACACTTGACGGAGAGGCTTTGGAGAAAGTGAAAACCTTTACATATCTGGGAAGCACCATCGATGAACACGGCGGATCTGATGCAGATGTGAGGGTGAGGATCGGCAAAGCAAGAACAGCATATTTACAACTGAAGAGCAACTGGAACTCAAAACGATTGTCAACTAACACTAACATCAGAATTTTCGATACAAATGACAAGACAGTTCTACTGTATGGGGTGGAAACGTAGAGAACTGCGAAAGCCATCATTAAGAACATACAGGTGTTTATCAACAGTTGTCTACGCAAGATACTTCGGATCCGCTGGCCAGACACTATCAGCAACATTCTATTGTGGGAGACAACAAACCAGATTCCATCCAGCAGAGGAAGAAATCAGGAGGAAGCGCTGGAAGTGGATAGGACACACATTGAGGAAAGCAACCAACTGCATCACAAGACAAGCCCTCACATGGAATGCTGAATATCAAAGGAGAAGAGAAAGACCAAAGAACACATTACGCCGAGAAATGGAGACAGACATGAGAAGAGTGAACGAAAACTGGATAGAATTAGAAAAGAAGGTCCAGGGCAGAGTGGGTTGGAGAACGCTGGTCGGTGGCCTATGATCCATTGGGAGGAACAGGTGAAAGTGAAGTTAAAAAAGCAAGTTATTATATTTTATAGATTGTACAATAAGTCTTACTTCGTTATCCAGTGTGTTTTCCAATGATATATGCTCAGGAGATTCATGTATTAAAGTAAACCATAATTGTCCAAGTGGCCGAATTCCATCTGGTTTTAGATTCTTCGTCAAAATAAGTGCATCAGCCTCATGCCACCTTTCTATTTCAGTGATAACTGTACACTTTGAGGCATAACATTTAGAAAAATCCATTGGTGTATAAATTTTTTGAGATCCATAGTTGAGAAATGTTTTCACCTAATATGCAAGAAAAAATAGTAGTGTATGATTTATGTCTAATATTGTCAATCTATTGTTATAAAAGTTATCAGTATGAACAAGATATGTGTTTTATCTTGTGACATGAGTGCCCTGTTTATATAAATGACGTGATAAGACCGCCAATTAGAGAGCAGTGATTTATCGATCAGACCAGTAACACACGAAACCTGTACGAGCAGTCTAGAGCACTTGTTAGTCCTGCTATCTGCCTAGCCCAGCCATGTCAGAGACTCTAGGTGACATGGCTCAGAATCGATCACAATGGCGTAGGTGTATACACTTTTTATCTTCCCTTAAACCTTGATATTAAAATTGCTTCGTATCTGTCTTTCTTCCTGTGCTATATCCCTGTATACAACCTTTCTTTTATATATTAACACCACGAAATTAACTACTTCTATGAATCCGATGTTCTTCTTGATGTCCTAACGAGGTATGGCAACTTGGACCGATTCATATATGTGCCTGGTCCTACGTTGTAGCTGACTGAATGACAGAATATTGTCAAAACTATTAAGTATTTCAAATAATAGTGCATGAACATTCTACTACTAATGTGTACATAATATACTTTCATCAATCAAATATACTACTGAAGTATATCTATCTCAGTCGTAGTTCAGTAATAATTAAGTCACTAAGATTGTAATAAAGATACTTAAATTCAAAAACTATTCAGACGAATTCAATTTAAATTTTTCTGCCTAAATATTTCTTTACATATTACAGATGTTGGTTGAATTCTATATCTTAGTAAAACATTCCCATTACAATATAAATATGGTTGTTTTTTCTACTACGTTACTACTAATATCCTCCAACGAAAGTTACTTTGGAGTATATATTACATTTTGATTATGAATACAGTGCTCTTGAGTACTGTTGGAAGCCTGAGGAAGGTAATATATATATGATTCTATTTTACTAATCAATATAATAACAAAGTCATACTGCAAAATAGTTCATGCATATTATTTGCATTAACTTAATGGAAGTATATCGTATCTTAAATAAGCATTATACTGAAGTAAATTAATCTTACACTGAATAAAATAGCACAATAAGAATAAAACATTTACTCCACTGAATAATCTTTAGATAAAATTGTAAACGGAAATAATGTAGAACAAAAAATTACAATGAATAAACGAATATAATTTTGCCTTTTTCATCCTGTCATATGCCCTCAAATGCCACGGTACGGCAGAGAGTGAGGAGAGTCTGCTCTCCCCCCTCCAAGTGCTCTCACATGGCGACGCGTATTTAGCCTCTAACAGGGAAGTCCTACTCACTGCCTTCTCGCACCACGGATGTTGTTTACGAAATTGAGAGGACGAAAAGCGAATGTCTCGCGTTTTAACCGGTCTGGTGTACACGGAAAATCCACCTAGGGGAGTTGGAAAACCCTGATTCCAAACCAACGGTGCACATGGGCTCCAGTATCCTGAGGGAACAAATGGCGTATGAACCAATTGTTGGTCACTGGCTACCATGGGACTGCATCTCCTTACGATACTCCACTGCCTTGTGGGTCAGACATTTAGGTCAAAGCCTCCGGGTGTGGCCGCCTAAGAAAACCACCTGCTTCAGTTTGGGCACTTGGGGAATATCACAGCCCTCACACAAATCAAATGAGATTTGTACGACGCATGTGTATTCGGTGCCCCTTTGTACTAATATTTATGTGTTCAAATAAATAAATGAAATATGTCTTTAAATAAATAAATAAATAAAAATCCTGTAATATCAATTGGACACTATATTTTCATTTTTACTTGTCATTATCTTTGTTAAGATCGTTGATGTTGTACTCAATGGTATCTTTCAGTGAGGTGACAGATTCAAAGAAATCATCTGAACTTTGTCCAGATAATTTACATTCGTCTCAGTAAAATTTATTCAAGACTTAGTGGCAATAAAAGTAAAAAAAAGCGAATTCCACGATTCTGTTATTACATATACTCCGTCATGTAAGAAAATTTAATATGTCCTAATACAATTGAGAACATTGTAGAAAAAAATACAACTTCACCTGCACAAAGATCAATTAACGGTCAAAACTTCATTACATATCCTCGCTTATAACAATGCATGCAATCAACAGTGAACACACATTTGACTGGAAAAGCATTGAGATCTTGGCGAGAGGGGATTCTAAAAGCGCCGGCGAATTTCTAGAGGCTTGGCAAGCAGTACAATCAGCAATCAAAAAACACATTGAAATCTATCTAAATTATCGACTAATAAGAATAATCACGGACAAATATAGGGTCAAGAATCAAATCAATGGGAGATACAATCAAAATAAAGAAGTAGGCAATGACATGTTAAATGTTAACAACAATCAATCACGATCGAGATCAACAGGAAAAGCTGTGAGTCATATGTGGAGAAATCCGAACACTCCACTTCTACCTGAAGTTTGTGCTAATGATGTCGATTAGAAGTACAATGAAAGCTCCACAATGAAACCATCCAGCTCACAGAACGAAACTTCACTTTAATCATCCACCTGAGCTACAAATCTTCTCCACCATCTCAAATACAACAGCATATTCAAAAAAAATTGAATAAAAAGAAACAGTACCGCTCTATTTATAGTCAAAACAAATATTTTTTTAATTTGAATAGTCAACTTACTGAAGTATTTTTACTTAGGGAATCATATAATCTCTTCAGTCTTTTTTCTTCTACATCAAATCTCAGAGAGTATTTTTGATCTGAAGTTTCATAAATAGTAGAATAACTTTTGTGCAGTATCATAGCCAGTTCTAACTCTGAAGAGTTTGAATCGAATATATCTTCATGAATCAGTTCCATATTATCTGATAAATATGTATAACTTTCATTGTGCATACCAAGATAGAGTAAACTTGGTGAGATATTGATCAACCGTAAAATGAAAAGGGCAATGAGCACAAAGCAAATGGCTTTAATTCTAAGAGTCCATTTACCGCGTTGCACAATCATATTGTAAATATCAACTATATTAAACCCTTATTAGATAGTTCAGTGTAAATATAAAATATGATAGATAAAAGGATGAGTAGAGTATGTTAGGTATTAAATGTAACAAGTTAAATTTATTTCATTTCAAGCTTCGCCACAATTTATTCCTAATTTACTACATGGTTATTGAAACATAGTCCTAACATTATTCACTCTACATCACTGCCATTGCAGATTGTATTGATTACTTATTGTTTATTACCAGATATCAATATTGAATGTTACAGTGCATTACCGATCAGTATATTTAGCAAGGATAATATATATCGTACATTTAACTAAAATTATACATGCCTGTAAATGTTTATTAGCTTAATATATAAGCACATGAATTGGTAATTAGAGTCTGACTTTATAGCGAATCGATAACAACTGCGAATCACATTATTACTTCTAACTTAATGATAACTACACTCAAGTGCGGACCATAATGTTAAACATCTGAGACTCGCTCCTTCTATAAAGGTATTCAATGTTACCTAAAATCAATAACCATAACATACCCAGGGTTAACTGAAAGCACGGATTGTTACTTGAATATTAAATTGTAGTTGATATTGTTATGTCTTTTACAAAGCACTGAAATCGGTACGGTGGAACGTAAAGAATTCTTCTGACTACTGTATATTTTGTAATTAAATGACCGATAATAGTTGTTCTTCACTCTTCCATCACATTTTACCGCATAAAACCAGTGCACTTATAATAATAATTGACTACATATACAGTCCAGCATTGCTGCACTATAATTTATGGACGAACTAGGCAGGTAAAAAACAACAGACGATGGATTTTGGTGGGAAATTCATTCATATATTAAGGAGCGTTTTGGCATTTCAGTTATGTAAGTTCGTGATAAAAACCATAAATCTAATTCCTAAATCTAACCATCAACTGTAAATCATAACCATTATTATTCACACTGGTTTATAATCCTCCTTTGGGCCTACTAAGTAGGTAGACATTCTCAGGGTCACCATGGTGTCGTTCAAAGGTCATCCATAAATTATGGTTTCACCCATTTACGTAATGGCATGTTCGAACTTCAAACGCGAAATCAATACCAAGATAGGCGGCAATTTGTTAATAGCTTTATTCAATTTATATATATATAATTTTGTTCCAGTCTTTATGAGGTTAGTTAATCATGAAAGCACCCTCATTATGTCTATTAATCGAATAACCTATTCTGGTGCGTTTATGAAAAGTCTACGACCTTTCGCTGTACACCATATAAAAAAGTACAATCAGAGATCACATTATGCCTGGCTATATGAATTGAAAAGAATAAACATTATTCCAATGTCAATTCCTGAAATGCTGACACCTAACTGGAGATCGCTCAATATTTATCGTCAGGATTGATAAAGAAATATGAAGGAAACCTGTTGAAATACTTCGTGCGAACAATTCTATTGTAGGGCCAGTGAAATGTCACTGAACCCAAACCAAATCAACCGAGAGTTGGGTCACTAAATATCGAACAGATCATCGATCCCCGTCATGGTCAAGAACAATCAACGCGCATCAGTTAATCATACGCCATGGACTGGCACATGCAACAGTGGTTCTACTTTCGCTTGTATCTACTTTACCTAATGTATTCCTGTAATAACGTCCTTTGTGTTGTACAGTCTTCAGAGCATCCATGGTCCCTTGATACGTCGATGGGGCAATCCACATAAGGTGCTGATCACGAGGTGTGACTTCGAAGTTAGCTTGTTCGTTACACCGTCACCGTCTATCTCGAGTACGCATCCAATCATTCGACATAGATCATCAACGTTAAAAAGTAAATGAATTACAGTAAATGTAATCAAGTAGTTGAAAGTTGAACTGTCTAACCATTAAAATATTACCTCTGCTAAATATTATTTGATACAGATAACTTTCTGAATCAATTTTTCAAATGACAAGAAAAGTCATTTTTAAAAGTGGTAATAATATCATTACAATAATAAACAATTCTTAGAAACTCAAAAGATTTATGCCTCAAATGCGCTAGTACAGCTGACGGTGGAGAGAGTCCACTCTCCCTCTTGAAATACTCTCACATGGCCACGCGTATACAATCACTGTCAGGGAAGTCCTACTCCCTGCCTTCTCGTGACATTACTGTTGTTTACGAAATTGAGAGGACGAAAAGCGAATATCCGGCGCTTTAACCAGGTTGGTGGATAGCGAGGATCCACTTACGGAAGTTAGAAAACCCTGATTCCAAACCAATCGTCTATACAATTTCCAGGATCCTGAGGGTACAAATGGTGCACGAACCAATCATTAGTCACCGGCTACCATTGGACTACACCTTCATACGTTGCTCCACTGGCTTAAGGGTTAAATCTCTAAGTCGAAGACTTCCGATGTAACTCCCTAAGAATACGACCTTCTTCGGTTTTAGCACCCGCGCATTATCACAGCCTATTTATACCAATATTTATATTTAAATTAATAAAAAACAAATGAATAAACAATTAATATAAAACGTACCAACTTTCAATGATTAAATTAGATCTAGACGTAATTTGAAATGAACTTGTTGGTTGCTTTGGTTATCTAAACAAATACAAGACCAATCCAATTGAACAATATTAACAACCACATAAATCAATAAACATAAAACCATTAACAAATCAAACTTATTGTATGTAAATACCGGTCAAAGTTATTCGATTAAGAAAAGAAATACATAAATTTGTATAGAATGACCTGAAATTATTGGAAGTTATTGAATTTATATGATCATTCCATAAAAACAATTACCATTTTTAATCTTCTATTTGTAATTATACTAATTCTATATAGTTGAGATCATGAGTCAATTGAAGCTAGACCACCATGGAAAACCTAGAAGCACTGGATGGCTGTTTCGTCCTATTATGGGACTCCTGAGCAGACTTAATTTGAAATGAACTTGTTGGTTGCTTTGGTTATCTAAACAAATACAAGACCAATCCAATTGAACAATATTAACAACTACATAAATTAATAAACATAAAATCACTAACAAATCAATCTTATTTTATTGTATATATAATATAAATTGACAAATATTACGTATTGCGTTAGGACTACATGAAATTCTACCGACTGACCAAATTCAGATATCCTAGTACGACCCCAATATTGTTCTTCAAGTACAATAAATCAGAACACAGCCGTTAAATAAGAATTTTTTATAGGGTAAAAGCAGGTCAAAAATGATTTACAGACAAGGCATATTCATACAGTTAAGATGTTTATTAACAGTAACCAATGGAAAGGAAGGACACGTAAAGGTTATAATTAGGCCAACTCAAAATTGATAAATAGGAAAACGACACACGAAAGTCATAGTTAGGACGACTGTAAATAATGGCCAATAGGAAATAACATGTAAAATATATGAAGAGACTGAAACATGTCACTTTACATTCGAAATAATATTTCGGATATTCCTGTGAATATCCTAACAACTGGACTATCCCGTCTCGCGAAAATCGAACCCATGACATATCACTCTTGCGCCAGAGCACTTAACTGATAGACCAAGGCGAGATCGTGGATAGCACTGATGAGGAATCCTACAATAAGACGAAACGGCTATCCAGTGCTTTTAAGTTTTCCATGGTGGTCTAGCTTCAATTGACTCATGATATCAACTATATAAAATTACTAAATTCTCCACAAAACCTCCTTCTGATAATTATAGTAATTGTTAATATTAAAGAAATAATAACAATAACTCAATTTGAATCAATGAAGGTTTTTTTGTAGAAAACAAAACATCGAATCCCGAAAGGTGGAATTGTGGATGCGTACTATTAAGGAGTCTCGTACTAGGATGAAACGGTCCATTCGGTGTTCTGAGGTTTTCTATGGTGGTCTAGTTTCAATTAACTCAGGAATACAACGATGAAAATTTGTAGATTTGTCAATACAGATTTGTCTTCAGTTGTGATTGGTCAATACAGATTTGTCAGTTTTCATTTGTAATTTTTAAACATCAGATCTATTGTTAATGACCGATCATTCTGTATGCATGATATTGCATACATATATTGAACAAGAGTATATATAGGTTAAATGATTGACAGACGATATCTCTAACAACATCAATTATGCATCCATGTTATATGAAAGTATGATGTCGTTCAGAAGGACGATAAAAGCTCCACGACCAAACCATCCAGCTCACAGAACAAAACTCCACCCACCTGAGTTACAAATTTTAACCACCATCTCAGAAAGCATGACATTTCATAGCATTAGAGTTACATGAGAACTTCCATTTTGATTTGTGTATGTGTGTGTGCGTGTTCATTTTTGATCAATTCTTCTTGGCATACTGTTTCTTTTATTCATGAAATAGACAATCTAATGTAAAGACTATTCGATTTATTGTCATTTCATATTTAGAGGAGGTATTCTATGATTTATTTGAACGAAATTTCGATTTTTTTTTTAAAAAAAAAAAAATGGATCAATAGAATGCTAATCAATAAATGAACGCAATGATACAACATGACAGGGTAATGATTAATCGTGAAATAGTACAATTGACCCAAAGAGATGAATGATTAGAAATTAAAGGAAAAAAAACTCACTAGACAAATCAATAAATTTTTATGTAATTAATTCCTCATATTGATCATTAGCTATTAGGTAGATACTCTCAAGGTCACTCTAGCGTCGTTTATAAGTTGACTTTAAATTATAGTCTTATTTAAAATGCTTATATGATGACAATTTGATTATTATCAATATAAGGTAATTGAAATTGCAAAGTATTAATTGAGATCATGAACTGGTCAATACGTGAACTATGTTCAGTTAAGATCAACATTAAGACAGACTTGACACGCATGATATTGATCACCACCTAAAGATCAATCAATTGTGATAAAGATTAATGATTGAATTTAAGAATATCTGAGAAAATGGTAATAGTCTAGATTAAAGTCTTGAGGGGAACTGAGCGATAACATGAAGCCTATTGACTAATAAATGATTGACTTCATTCATAATGTCTATTCCTTTCCAAACCACATATAACACAGATAACAGTTATTTATTTATTTATTTAAACACATAAATATTGGTACAAAGGGGCACCGAATACACATGCGTCGTACAAATCTCATTTGATTTGTGTGAGGGCTGTGATATTCCCCAAGTGCCCAAACTGAAGCAGGTGGTTTTCTTAGGCGGCCACACCCGGAGGCTTTGACCTAAATGTCTGATCCACAAGGCAGTGGGGTTTTGTAAGGAGATGCAGTCCCATGGTGACCAACAATTGGTTCACACACCATTTGTTCCCTCAGAATACTGGAGTCCATTTAGTTTAATACGTTAAGATATTGTTGTGAACAGAACACTGTTTGGGGACAATCGAATGTATTTAAGCAAACATTACAGACTATCTCAGTAAATTCTGCTAACCAAACAATGAATAGTCAATTTGCAAATTAACAACCAATTGTTTCAATATTCACTGTTTCTTCTCTTATTCCATTGCTCATGCATTTTGCAAACGATTGCGCTTCATTTCAGTTCTTTGCTCATCGGTCTTCTGCGAAAATACATTCTATGTCTGACCCAAACCATATACTACTTATATGGATATAAGTAGACCACACCACACTCGTCCCCCTTTAAGACATTCGTTCGTACGGTGGTTCAGCTCGCCATGCCACTATCTTCTTTCACTGCAAACTGTGCCAAACTCTCCGTCAGAATGTCGAGTCTGCGGCGCGCTGACCTCCATAGCTCCGTCGACCTGCCGGGGCACCAACATCCGCATCCACCCGGCACCTGGGACGTTCAACACCCGTACTCCACCGGCCTGCTGAGCCATCTACATTCGACGTTCGCCCAGCAGCCGCACGTCCCACTGCTCCTCTCCATCGACAGCACCCGCTACAGCCAACGCTGCCCCGCCAGAACACTCCACTCGACGCCACCTCTCCTCACCAGACTGCCCCAACTAGCACCGCAACTCCAAACCCGCAGCGGCGTCCGCAGAACAGCACCCTTCCTCCTCCTGGTTGGCAGCTACACTAAATGTTGTGAACAGAACACTGGTCGGGGACAATCGAATGTATTTAAGCAAACATTACAGACTATCTCAGTAAATTCTGCTAACCAAACAATGAATAGTCAATTTGCAAATTAACAACCAATTGTTTCAATATTCACTGTTTCTTCTCTTATTCCATTGCTCATGCATTTTGCAAACGATTGCGCTTCATTTCAGTTCTTTGCTCATCGGTCTTCTGCGAAAATACATTCTATGTCTGACCCAAACCATATACTACTTATATACTACAATATCAGTATTATGTATTATAATACGAAAATAGGCTTAACGAACTGCAATATTTATTCATCAACTTTAAAATAACAAAACATATAGATGTGAATACATCCATACCTTCACATGTTACATTTTGGATAAATTT